CCTGTGAGACAAGATTTGCAGTTAATTGTTACTAAAGTTACTCCTCTAATGTTGGGTTTAATATTACAAAACTTGAATAAATTAACACTGTCAGGGTAAAACAAGTAATGTAATTACAATTTCAGATTAAACCGCTGTTTTATACGTTTTTAAAGATATGTTTTATACAGATAGTTTACCGGGAACTATCTGTCAAAAGTGTCCAGATTCTTGTAAACAAAAACACAAGTTGATAGCCTTTGTTCCACGTATTCAGTTTCCAGTTCTGTGGTAGTAACCTTTTGTCTGAGTTAGATGCTGCCTACACCCACAAACTATTGTGTAAAGTTACTTTTTTTTTTCTCTTTTGCTCTTGAGCCTAGTTTGAAAAAAAAAAAACAAAAACAAAAAACAAACACAAAAAAAGAAAACTTTTGAAATTGCACATAATGTCTTTCCTGGAATTGTCAAGTGTTTGAGAAGTGAGCCTTGTAGAATGTTGAGAAGTCTTCTTGTCTGTCTATTATTTTGCTATTGATTCAAACTGAAGTCTTCACTGATTTGCCATGAGCCAGGTAGGGAGCCTGCTGAGGTGTCACGTTAGGGAGATAGCAGTCCCACATTGCTCTTCATCACAAAGCATTGGCAGAATACCATGTTGCTCTGTCTCCCAAAATTGAGGGGAAAAATCAATTAAAAGGAGAAAATCACATCCGTCAAGCACATGGGAGACATGGTTCCTTTTCTGTCTTTGTCGTTAACCTCTCATCAGCCTTGTATAGAGGAACACTCTTTACTCACATCATCTTGTAGACATCAGGTGATTCTCCCTCTTTTCTCCTTTATTTAACCCAGCTTAATAAAGATGTAACTGCTCAGAGAAACACTTTATTAATTGACTTGTCTCACACTATATCTTATGGCCTCTTGGTCATCTGTATCATTTTGACATCACTGTTGGGTATATCCTTCTCTGCTCTTTAAGTATATTTCACAAGGTGCTGGTGGTAAATTAGGTGTAGTAGATGTTATAAGTCCTGCTCCACACAAATAATGAAGACAGATGGACGCTCCATAACAAAGCGTAAGGCTGACAATTCAACATAAAGTGTTGCAGTACATCAGCACCTGCTGATTCTACCAGCATGCAGTGCTGTAAACTGTATGGTTAAGTTTATGCCTAATTGATGCCTAATACTCCCCTTTTAAACTGTATTAACTTGGCATGGGCTTGCGGATGCTGTGAAACTGTGAACTTGATTCAGTGGAAGCTGGTTGACAGCAGCAGAGATCAAAGTATGGAAGTGAAAGCCCTGCAGATACTGTCATCCTCTACAAATGTTTAGTGAACCGTAACCTGTATCTCATTACTTTTACACTCTCCTTTACCCTCGCAACTGCTTCCATTCCTCAAGTACAGACCTTTCACAGTCTGGGTTGCAGTAGTGGAACTATTTTGACAATATTTACCGCAGTGTAATTTTTTTGTTTTTGTATATTGTTTATACACTAAAAAAATACAAAGCTCCAAGTGAATGTTAGGGGAAAACACCAGTAACAGTGTTGTGAGGGTCTCTGAGTCCTTGAGTTGACCTGCTGACAGTAAATCTATAATAAATAAATTTAGTATTGTGTGCAATGATATCCTAATGTATTTCACAGTAGAATAACAACCCAAAAAATATCTCTATGCTGTGGTTATTCTTTAAATCGAAAGTGACCACATTTTGACTGGTGAGCTTACATTGTTTTCACTGGTTTTCACACTGATGGAAATAAATATGCTAGCTGGCCTACCGCTGTCCTTGGCAAATATTAATTATTTCTGATTTGTCAAACTGAGCACATGATTGATTGACAGGCGAAACATATCCAGGATCACACACGCTAAAACTGTCTTGTGTAAATCACGCGAGGCAGTTTTTTGCAACCAGATAAAAATATACATGAAAATATACACTACTGGAACAGTGAAAAGCTTTTGAACTGTGACAGTCAGCAGAGGAATAATAAATCTGGCAATGAAGGCCATAACTGTTGTTTGAATGTTGGGACAAATGAAATGCTCAGACTCGGAGGGCATTTCTGAGCCAACAGGGAAGAAAAAAAAAAAAAAAACACCTTCCGAAGAACTCTCTATTGAAAGTACACACAGATACGCATTTTGAGTTGGATCTTGACAGGAATTTTACAGTCAGTATATGTTTTCTGAGTACACATTAAATCATAATGTACACACCTTTTTGACTAAACTAAACCTGTGTTAAAGTTGTTACCTGCTGTAAGATGTACATTCATAACATTGTATCTCCAATACAACATAAAGGCAGGGAAGCGGAATAGCCTCATTTTCCACTCATATCTATAGTGCATTTCATGCCATCACTGAATTTACCATTTAAACATTTTTTCAGTAAATGTGTAGTGTACATTTACCAGGTGATGAATATATTCATTGTTTTCACACATTCAACCTACAATCTGTTTTATTTTTGACAAGGACATACTAGTATTTATGAGGTTTTTAACCCGAACAACAAATTTTGCTGTTTGCTGTCGCTGTTTTGTTGGTGGATTGCTGTATCTTGGCTCATGTGCTGATATGTAGTGCCTTCATCCTCGCCCAAGGCTGTAAATGAATGTGTAGTGTTGCTAGCATACTTCCAGTAATCTCTCCTAGACTGCTGTGTGTGTCTGGTGGCCTGTGGTGCGGAGTCTGGCCCAGCATCATCACCCAGTCTCCCACAATGCCACACATATGGTGCTGCCTTTGTGTCAATTGTGCTCCGTGGGGTTTCTGATAATTAACAAGATGACAGACAAATGCAATGACAAGCACAAGGTGGATTTGATTTTTCATTACCTTGTCCTCTTTCTTATGTTTTTCAGTTGTATTCAGCTGTGACATTTTGAAATGTATTAGAATAATTTCACCTCTTTCAAAACATTAAATCCACTCCTAATGGCAATTACCAAGGCCTCCACTTTGGAAATCCATTGATTGGTCTGAATGGTCTGAGTTCTGTGAATACACTGACTCACAGAATGAATACAGGGCAAGGACACTTTTCCTTCATTCTATACCATGCCAAACCGGACTCTGTAAAAGACACACTGTGTAAACATGAAAACATACCCCTAATTGTCTTCTTGCTCGTTGCTCAAGAAGCAGTGCCAGAGAAGAACAGCTTAAATCATTGGATTTGCCACAGTATTTGCAGTAACTCTTGTAATGGATGAATGGCTTTCTTCTCGTTTTATACAGAAATAACTGAGTGAATATATATGTTGTTAAGAAGAACTTTGTCACTAATTCAGTAACAAAGTTGTTTGTGAGTGAAGTTGTTACAAAAGATACAGTTTGTAATAAATTGTATGTTACAACAAGAATAACTTAGTGTTTCAGCTGATAATGTGTCTTAGTTCCAGAGAATAATTTTATATACAAGGTATTGCACTGTCCCTCGTAGTTTTATGATTATACCAACATACACTTCAATGCTACTAAAACTTGCATTTTTGAACATAAATAATAAAAATCCTGTAAGTCTTTGAATAATGTTTTTTTTTCTGTCACTTCTCAATGAAAAAGTCATTAGATTTATGAAAGAGCATCAGGAAGAGTTTCTTTATGAAAGGTCATGAGTGAATAATTAGTAACATAAAAGCTCTGTGCTGCGTACAGTGCATCCATTGCTCTGGTCCAAAGGGGAGAAAAGGAAATGTGTGCCCAGTCATCATCTAGCTCCAATGTACAATTCCAATTACACAAATATGTTTATTTATTTATTATTTCTTTTTTATATCATCAACCATCTTTTCTGCTTATGCTGATATGATCAAAAGCCTTCATTATCAAGGCACCATTGCTTGCCGCAGACCCTAATTGGGGCTTCAATAAAAGCAAGCAACATTTGATATAATGGCTCCCTCCCAAACAGGAATGCCAGGCCTGCATTATGGCTTACTTTTTATATTGCTGAGCTCCCTGAGGGAAAGACAGAGATGTCATCATTAGTGGGCAGCAGACTATGGCCGTGGTGCCCACGATGACTGCTGAGGTCTATAAAGTGGTCAGCCAGGCCTGTGGCCCAGGAGCTGTGTATGCGCTCTGTTTTCCCTGTCTGAGTTCCCATCTGCCCACGTGTCCCTGCGCCAGTCTGCTCCCGCTGAATAAATTTGGGGAGCTAATGGGGAAGGAAGCTTTGTGAAGACCTGGAAAAGGGCACCTCTTCTTCTTCTTCTCCTCTGAGAAAAGAAGGGGAAAAGTCGCTGTGGTCAATTTTATTAACTTGGCTGACCTTCACACAAACAATTAACATTTACAGAAAACACAGCCTCTCCCATTATCTTCCTCATCTCCATCCTAATCTTCAACCTCACCAGAAGCAGCATCATCCTTTTTTTCTGCTCCTACAAGGGCAATTTTATAGAGACGTAGCAAATTAATGGCAAACCCGTTGCATGTATTTTTAAGGCAAGTGCAAGGTGATGTGGATTATGCAGTAGAAGGTCAGTTATCTGAACATGCCTGACATGTTCAGTAATTGGCTAAGGGCCACAACTGTCACAGTAAACCAAGCCAGCAGTGAGTGGTGATTATGTGACCTTATCTACTTATCTGCTCACTCTCCTACCAGACCATCAGCAAACCTCTATTCATTCTGACTGAAACCTAGTCCTTTAAAGGTGCATATATGCAATGAAAGATTTTTTGTTTTGACAGTGTTAGAACACAAATTAAGTTTTCCATATAATCTCTACTAATTTATAAATCTGTGAGGATCCTTGTTACCTAACCAGGTAAGTTGAACAGGGATATACTCAGCAGCTTCACTCTCTGCTTATATGGACTCCTACTGTGTGAAACACCCTGTCGTGGACATGGACAAAAAATGAGATTTACATTAACAGTATCCCCCTTTTTGTGTGTGTGTGTGTGTGTGTGTGTGTGTGTGTGTGTGTGTGTTTGTGTTTGTGTGTGGCTGTTTCTGTGTTTGTGTGCGCTCTCCTATTTGTAGAACCTGATAAAGAACCTGCCAGAGCAGAAAGAGCTGAATGCGCTTGCGGAACTAAAGGGTGAATATGAAGAGCTAGTGGAGTCGGAGCAGTTTGGTATTGTGGTGAGTATAATTTCCTGTGTTTGGATAGTGGTTTAGGTGGGACCATGAAATTAAGAAATGTATCATTTAGAGGGACGCAAGAGTTCAAGTAATGTTTAATTAAAACATCTAACAGTATAAAGGGTATATTTGATAAAAAGAAAAACTGAAAAAAAAAAAAAAAAAAATTGGTAACCAAGTTCCAAATGACATAGGCTGAGATTAAAAGAGAAGTACTTTTGACTCAGGCAAAGAACAGTTCAATCATTTTTGATTAGGATTCAGCATTGAGAACTCAGTAAATGCCATATTTTGACATCAACTGTCAGTGTTGTCTCATGATAAAACCATACCCTAAGGCTATGAATCCTGTCTGTATTAAAGTTCTTTGAAAAGCATACAGCTGTAGTCAACCAGCGTGGTGATGTTTCCCAACCATCTAAGTCTTTTGCAGTGGTAAGATAAATAATACTAATATTGTAAAAGAAACCATAAGAAAGTGTGATTTCAGTCATCAAAAGAACTAGGTTTTCATCAGATAACTATGAAACAGCTAGCACGTAATTACAGCTGTAATTGAGTATGTAAACTTTTAGGGCACAGTCTTTTAGTATTTTGGCTATACAAATCAGATTAATCAACACAACTGATGTTTTTTTTACTTCATAATGAAGAGAAACATATTTCTTGTGTCTCATCGACCAGTTTTCTTTTCTTTTTTTATCAAGCAATCTCTGTTGCTTGATAAAAAAAAACATGGTGGATGACTGAAAATTCTGGTTGAACTGTTGTACTGGAAGGAAGAAGGAAAATACATCATCAAGCTGTTCTGACCTTTCCACTTAGTTACAGCTGTAATTACTTTTTAATTAACTGCTCTTGCAATCCATTTACCGAGTGAATACCCAGCACGTTAGGGAACTGCAAAAGGAAGTGTTATCTTTAAACTTAACTTTACAACAAGATCAGAGAGGTACATTACAGAGTTTTACAAAAGAAATGTTCAATTAGATCCAAGGGTCGCAGATGTGCCCCATCTCCCAAGTTATTCTCTTTACTCGTTAAAGGCTTTTTTTGCCTATGTCTTTTAGGAGATTTAATGAAGCAGGGGGTGGCAGTTTCCCTCGTGATCTCACCAATGTTGTGATCATATACCTCCTCACTGATGAAGTAGCTCCTCAATGCGGAGCTATTTAGTTCCCCTGGGAAATAAGCCATGTTCAAGCTTTCCTCTGCCAGAGCTGTCACCAACATGCTCGCTTCCATTGTGATTTCTCCTTATTGTATAGAAAATCAGTTGAGGAAGATGGGAGGAGTGTGCGCGCTTATGTGTGTGATTGTGTATGCACATGTGCGCATATGCAAGGAAATGAGGTGGGTGGGAATGGTGGTGTGTGTGAAGGGGGTGGGCGAGTGTGGGGAGTAGTGTGTCATAGACGACTTGCCCATACACATGAATAAATTTAAGCAGTAATGAAACATTATGGGCTGGATCTGAGGGTTGCCTTCAAGCACCGGATTATGCAGCAATCTGTAGAATTTGTCTGTGGTTGCTGCTTTGCCACATATCTTACAGCCAAAACCCTATTTGTTTTAATTCCCTCCCATTTTCATAGCTATTTTTTCTCATTTTCCTTTCTGTTTTTTTTTCTTTTTTCTTTGGCTTCCACTCCCAAGCCCACAAGTATTGATTGGGGCTGTTATTTATTTATGACAAATCTTTTTAATGGGATGCTCCCTTATCCATATGAAAGTCAGAAGGGAAGCAGGAAACAGGTTAATCCCATTTGCTAAAGAGGGTAGTTGATTTTCAGTTCATTAAAACTAGTCACAGCAGTAATTACACTGGGGATTCAACATGACAATGATGGCAAGGTGGTGCCTTATATGATTTATAGGATTTCTTTTCTGTCTTTGTTTGCTCACCATACAAAAACTTATTGTAGCAACTTGTATCTTAAAATAGAGTTTCAAATAGATTGTGAGGAGCAGAATTCATGGTTGAGAACCTTAACGTTAAGTTAAATTATGTCCATACATTAATGTATGTTATTTGTTTTTTGTTATTTGCTATTTGTGCACTGGCCTGGAAATGTAGTTTGCTGTCATTACCTGTCTGTGCAACTTACAATATTACTTTTTTTTTTATTGTCCTCAGATGAGTTCAGTAAAGCTCCTACGGCCGCGTCTCAACGGCATTCTGTTCAAGCTAACGTTCGAGGAGCAGGTGAATAACATCCGGCCAGATATCATGAATGTGACATTCGCCTGTGAGGAGGTGAAGAAGAGTGACAGCTTTAGCAGACTCCTGGAGTTGGTGTTGCTGGTTGGCAACTACATGAATGCTGGTTCAAGAAATGCCCAGACATTTGGTTTCAACGTCAGCTTCCTCTGCAAGGTAATGCACCACCATGTTGTGAAAATATGTGAAACATGAAGTGACATTAATATGATTTGATTTTAGATAGTAGTCATCTGATTCTTACCATTCACATTAGAATGTAGGTGCACATTTCAAAATACCAGTATAAGCCCACAGAATTAAAATAGATTTTCATACAAACGGCACCTTATTTATTTATTCTAATCTAATTCTATCTGATTATGCAACAATGAAATAAAAAACGGTTTCAATACAACAAATGACGCAAACATTATGAGCCATGGAACTTGAGCCAGTAAAGGCAGCACCCCTATCCACTGCCAGGTAAAATCACAGCATGCAAAGGTGTGAAAGAGAGGACTGGCTGCCATGCACACACAGCTATACTAAGCACAACAAAGCTCTTGAAGCACACCTGCTCAGCCACACACACACACACACACACACACACACACACACACACACACACACACACACACACACACACACACACACACAAACAAAAATTTACACCAGGAAAGCAGTGAGACAAGAGGCTTTCCTGCACTGCTCTAAGAGGAAGATTCCTTGAGCTGAGGTAAGAGAAGAGAATTTCAGCCCCACTAGACGAAGCTAAGGTTGGTCGTGTCACAATAAAAAAACAGTGTTAAGCTTGGATTTTAAAATAGAACTTAAACCACAACGGCAACGTGGCTTTAAAAGTTGTTGGAAAGTTATGTTTATTTATTCTTTGTATACGTGGATTTGTGTAATGTGATGTGTTTTTCTTGTATAAATCAGAAATCTAATAGTGGCTTTTTTTATAAATGTTGCCATTTTTAGGTCAAAATGTACTCTACATCAACTGAGCCTTGAACATGATGTACAGCCATATACAGTACTCTAGTATAGTCTATAGTTATATGGAATCAAGGCTGACCATTGTTTGTTTTCTGCATTATTGCATATGAGTGGAGTCTCTGTATTTGGACACATTTTTCTCAGAAACTACATTTAAAAGACAGCAGTGTATTAATCTCTAATGTCACATTTAATGTCCTTTCTTATGCACAAATTAATTAATTCATAGCTTTCAAACAAAATTCAATAAATGAGTCAGGCTGTAATTATTTAAATTAGGTAAACACATTTAAAGTTAAAAAAAAAATTCTTGTCATTTGTAGATTCTTTGAGAATTTTGTTCCCCTACATCTTAGGGGGAAAAAAGGAAACCCCGGGAAAACCCTGTCTGGAACATGACCACATGCATATCACTTCCAAAAAAATTAAAGAAAAATAAAATCAGACGATCAAGCAAGTTGCTCTAAATGTTCCAACATGTTTTCATGCCAACTCCAGATCCAGCATCACAGGTGTATCTACAAAATAAACAGCTTGTGAATAAATACAATTTAACTGACAGCCAAACATTAACTTTTTCCTTTTAAAGTAGCTTTGGCACCATGTTGTAGCACAGTATTCAATGTCCTATCTAACTGATGATAAAAGTGATGACAATATTTATTGGGCAGCCTACAGCGTGCTGGAAGAACTCGTGGGGGTGCTGAAGCAGGGGCAAGCCTCCTCCCAGCGCTTCCTGTGGTTGCCAATCAAACTGGAGCTTAACAACTAAAATAAGTCGCAAAATCCATCTTTTATGCTGCTCGTGTGAGAATTTATAACACATCTTTTTCAGTGTCATTATCCTCAAACTCTCTGCTGTTCTGTAGCGGTACTACAACTGTTATGAGTAGAAGAGAAGAAAAAAAAACAACTGATAGCCCTTCAACAATCATGTCAAATGGATCAGTCATGTCATGTGAAAACACTCAACATGGGCTTTTTCCATATGGGGAAGTTAGAATGCCATAAGCCACCGCCTTACACGCATATTTGAAGCCAACAGTCTTGCAAGTTCCATGTGTGAAAAGGGCTTTAGTATGGTGAATCCAGTGTGCCTTTGGTATTTCTGCAAGCTGACTGAATCAGTGTGGAGTGTCAGTGTAGAACCTGGTAACGCCTCAGGGGGCTGATTGGGCCATTATTGATGGACAAGAAAAAAGTCTGCTTTCTCACTTTAGTCAATCAAGTAAATGGCCCCCTGGGTAGCAGGTCTAGGGTACCTAATGGGCTCATCAGGGAGGAGGAGGTTGATGATGGGAATGAGCTGCATGGGGAAGGGCACAGGCTGACCCACCTTCCCCTTCAGCCCTCCACTAAAGCCCCTCGTCCTGCCAAGGACACACAAATCTCCTGGGAGCCAGCATGGTCACATACACTCAGCAAGTTGAACATCCACACTGGCTTTACACAGACAGCTGTGAAATGTTGATTTCATGATGGTATTGTGTGAAAAAGATGTGATAAAATGACACGATAATCACTATTATCTTTATGGGTAATAGATATTTTTGTGTTTGTGTTATTTGTAACATGAAGTTTTTCTATATTTTTTCAAACTGCCTTTACTGTATGATACTTAGAGTATAGGAGAGACTTGTTTTATAATGAAATATAAATGCATGCAACCATCTGCTGTATAACTCAAAAACAAAGAAATATTGTTTCTCTTGGGCCTTATCTCTCTCTTAATGCGGGAAAAACACTTTTATAGACTCTGCTAAATAATTAAAGAACACATGGCAATGATTTGTGTTCAATTTAAGTAGAACAGAGCAGGCTATCTGATAAGCACTTGACTTGGGAAGAGGGAGTCATCTACCCAGCATCAGGGTGACCTTGTGTCTCGCTTTTGAATTACAGCATTTTCCACAGCTAAAATCTCTTTTACAACTGTCATTGTTATTATACAATTCACATCTTCAGCACCTATATTTGCATTGGGCAGGATGTGATCACGCATTGCTATGGTTGTTTTATTCACAGAACACTTACACTGTGCTTTTTTATTTATGTACTATATATTCTTTTTCTTCTTCTTAGATAGTGTATTTGATTATATGTGCAAGTCTATATGTCTGTCCTGCGCTGCAGCTCCATCTGCAGAAGTTAAATTGAGAAATCAAGGGCCGACAATCCCTCTGTTAGTCTGAGGGTTCTTTGTTCCCATCGCCACTCCTTCTCTTATTAACTAATTATTGTGTTATTTATTTATTTTCTACATAGAAATTAAAGTGAAAGCTTATTGTAAAATGCCTTGCCACTCTAAATGCTCCATGTATTGGAATATATTGTACTAACTGGTGAGGGATTTAGAGTAATGCTACCTCAAGGCAATTTATGTTAGGTAAGATTTAATGATATTACTGTTCAGAATTTGCTTTCAACAACACGTGGTGCGCTGTTTTTCCATTTACTTCAAATGGAGAGATTTTTCTGAAGCACATTCCAAATGCACTGTATATAGGTTGTTTTAGAGATAAGATTTGAGCTTATACTTAAGGTAGCTTTAAGGTAGCCTAACCTCTTCGAGGAGAGCATCTCAAAGCTTAGGAACTCTGACGGTAAAAGCCCTTTTCAATTTTAGCTTTTAGCACGAACTTTGAAATGTCCAGGACAAGGGATGGGCTGGGATTACAAATGGCCCTGGACTTTGGCATAGATTAGCTCAACACAACCTGTGCACAGATACTGCACAACCAATGGCACAGTTCTCACGATACCTTAAAGCTGCATTCATTGAAATTCCTGATGTAAAATAGTGTGAAAATAACATCAGCGCCTTTGGCTTCACCAAGGAATCCCCTTGCCTTTACAGAGGCCCTCAACAGAATGTTTTACCACTACCAACAACAGCTCTTTTTATTTCAACACAAAAATATTTTTTTTGTTTTTTCACTCTGAAATACCGTCCATTTTCAAAAGTCCCAGACTTTAAATTCAAATTTAAAATGAAAATGATAAGCCGTAGTTATACTATACAAATTAATTCATTAGAGCTGTAGATATTAAATTAAAAGTACAGGTTTGGGTAGAGCAGTTTAAGTGGTCTGTTTATGAATTAGTGAATATGCATACTCTGTGGACTTGGTCCATTCTTATTATGTCAGTGAAATTAACCTCACAATGATAATATGCTTCCAGTTTCATCAGATAATTTTAATGATTGCTTTATTACCCGAAATCACTTATATCCACTGTACTTGATAAAACCCCACAGTGTAACCATTCTCCTCCCCTGTATGGTCACTGGATTGGTTCACATTAAAGAATTTTCTCTAAATTAATAACATGTTTTATCACTGACACAATGGAGAATATATTTTCAAGCTAAGGATCCAAAATATACTTTACCACGTTATTTAGAATTGTTATTTCAGTAAATGTACTGGTTGTTAACATTCACAATTCCTTTTCTTTTCCCTTCTCCCAGTTCACCCTCTCTTTATTGCATATCACTAGTATTAGTCAGCAGATGAAATCAACATACCAGAGATGCACTTTTTTGTTTGGTAATGACAGTTTGAGGCATAACAATAAACAAATTAAAATTTAAAATCCATGAAATTAAATTGTGATTACCCAACGTGAGCAAATGATTGATCCTCATCTAATGAAAGTATGTGTGTTTTTTTGTGTGTTGGTGTGAGGCTATGCCTCTGACTGCCTGTAATGGTTTCAGTTCACTATTGCCTAAATGTGTGTGGGTGTGTTAGCATGTACACACCTGTGTTTGCATGTGCACGTGTGGGCATGTCCAACTGCAGGCTGTTTATAGCACAGATATTATCAGTATGAGTACACAGAGGTAGGTTGTGCTAATTAGCTTTCCCAGCATGCCATTCAAACAGCATGGCAATCACGGTGGGGAATGAATATGGAACAAGTTTCCTATGCACTGATGTGGAGACTCCAGCTCCTGTGTATGAACACACAGACACAGACACACATGCACATACATGGCAAACACAGTACATTACTTTTATTCAAACTGTTCTGCCCCTCTGTTCCTTCATTCATATGGTTCTGGTATCATTTTATATGTGTATGCACTGTATATGCGTGTGTGTTTCTTTTTGTTTAGCCGGTATGATTGTGGAAGTATGTTTCCATAGCTCTTATTATAATGCCGTTTTTTTATGTCCTCCTCATGCACTGTGCCTTTATCAGTCCTTCATTTGATACTGGAGATTGACTGAACACTTAAGTGGTACCTAATACATGCAGATCCTTATTATCTTGGTGGCCATGTACTGTGCTGTTGTACTCCTAAGAGGGCATAAATAGACTTTGCACTTAGTTTGTAAATTTGTTTGGGACCATGGTTGTTTCCATTAAGTAGGTGCAGAGGGATTTAGTTGTGCAGTGAAATCAAGTTAGGTTTTATGTACAGTACATAATTCCATATGGGATATTTCATAGTTTTGATGCCTAAAGCGTCATTCTATAATGTAGATTCACTGGTATAGTATGTTCATACAACAAATTTAAGTCACTAGAAGTAGCACCACTAGCCTTTCTATGTATGCTAAGCCACAAAAGCGATTATGTGACATACACCTTGATCATTGGCAACCCCTTCAACAGCAAATATTTTTCTAGGAAACATAATCTTTTTATCTTTTTAATTTTTACATTTTAAGGTTATGACAGTATGTTGGTAATTTACATATTTGGCCTCGCTAGCATTATTTTTTTTTGCCGACTCAGGAATAACTACAAACTGGACTAACTACACACTTCTGGTGCTGACCATAACTTCATCAGACACACTGTACATTGGTGCAGGTAGAAAGTTGGTCCTCACATAACACTTAAGGGAATATCTACTGTTCTGAAAGCATAAAAAGATGTGCACTTACATCACAACAGTGGTTGCCTTTTAGTCAACTAATTAGCTTTTTGATTTGGATGTTCTAAGTACTGTATTTCTCTGTGGCTTCACTGAGCCTTATAATCATTGCCGAACTGGTAGGATTTTTCCAAATTTTTCGGTAGTTCAGAAAATTTAGCTGAGATATGAAAACACTGTGATTAAACTCCTGTGTAGTTTATTTGACAAGTGAATGAGTATAAAAATGTGGGTTAATCAGTTATTTTCTCTTTTTCTTTTCAGCTGCGAGACACTAAATCCATCAGTCAGAATACAACACTTCTTCATTTCCTGGCTGAGAAGTGTGAAGAGAGCCACCCAGAGATGTTGAGGTTTCCAGATGAACTGGAGCATGTGGACAATGCCAGCAAAGGTATGTCTCTATGTCTTTATGTCTTGAGACCATCACTTATTATAGTACCCACATGTAAAATATAAAAGTCAAAGTGACAACATCATCTGGTATTGACTACAGTCTGGAGGACTTCACTGTAGGCAAACTACCAAACTACCAAAATATATCTATAAATGCGACACAATTTTTTCATTTTATTTTATTTCCAACACATTTTCACACTTCACTTAATCTGTTTTGTCCCTTAATGACAGCTAGCACTCTCTCTTTGTGACAAAAATAGAGCTGTTTGTCTGACCACACTGTCATTCAGCCTGTCAATAAACTAATTCCACTCTAATTCTATTCTCAAGCATTTGGTGGAATCCCTGCAGGCTTATTTACTTTGTTAGTCTCATAATTGGTTATTTAATCTAATTCAGCTAATTATGCACTTGACTGAGGCTGCCAGCCATTGTGTAAGTGGACTGAATAGTCTTCGTGCTCTGTATATATTTAGATGTCTATATGTACAAATTTTGAATTACATCAACTTTTTCATTTGATGGAAATGAATAATTCAAGCAGAATCCAGTTAATTGAGTTAATTGAGGCCAGTAAATAAATGCCTCTTGTAAAAAACCCTCAGGAACTATCTAAGAGATTGGGATGCCAAAGAAAAAGTTTACTTCGGGCTCACCACGCTTCACTTGTTTCATTGATCATCACATACAATTAAACAGGATTTTCAACAGTGACATTTTGAGACGTTGAAAGTGGTAACACACTTACTGATGTCACAGAGGTCACCACTTAGGTCAGTTGTCTTGTTTTAGAAAATTTTGCACAATTTCTACTTTCTTTCTTTCTTTTCTCTGAACTATTAATGGACTCTTTCTTTGTCACACTCATCTTTTATTCCTTTTATTCCTCTGGCATTTTTAGGCTAGGGAAATAAGGAAAGGCGAAATCTCATAAGCCTCCAAAAATCCATTTCATTAGATTTACTTTGAGGCAGATCACAAAGGAACATAGAGATTGGAGGCCATGCACTGGCCCTTCTATGTCTTTGGAAAGCTTTTACTGCCTGTTTAACAGTAGAGCGTCACTGAATTATTTACCACTATCACCAGATCCTTTACAAGCTTTTTGTATCCTGACTAAAGAAAAATTAAATAAAGCTGCCTTTGTACACTGTACTTTCTTAACATGCGGTCAAATACCACTTATGCATGATTGCCTTGTCTGATGGCAGTTTCTTTTATTTCTGCTGAACGTGTGTGTCTTTCTCCACCCCCTTTTTCTTTGACTTTAGTTGGAGCAATTTTCTTACAACTTTGTGCTGAGTGACTTCAATGGTTAGACTGTTTTTCTCAATCAATCTGTATGCCTGTTTTAAAGAGTGCAGTGCCGACTGATTATTTATTAACATAACTAGCCATAGTTTGAAAAATCATTATTGTTTATTCAGATACCAAATAGCTGTTACCATGGCTACCATGGAGTTCATATTAAGAATAATAAATGTTTATACTAGATAGACTAGTAAAGTAATTCAAAACCAAACAAACGACACACAAGTCATAAAGTAGCATAGTTAAAACCTTTATCCTCCCTTTGGTGAAGGAATAAACCATATTGTTGTGCATTCTTGTCGAGTAAATCTCATGTGAACAGACCTGTGTAAAGCTTGTGTCTGATTGTTGATTGTCAGAGGCTTTTGGGGGGTTGAGTTAAAGGCACACTGACAGTGATGTGGTGGGATTTAAATGTAATCAAACGGCCAACTACAATGGTTGAAAGTTGTACAATTAATATACCTCATTGATAAATGCAATCAGGCCTGAATAATTGCCCTAGAAAATCCTAATTTGTCCTGCCTTGATTGCCTGCGTCAGACTTTCACTCCTCCAGTGAACAATTTCACTAAGAAACAGACTGTCACCTTGCTATTGTCTTGATCGTGACACAGTTGTTATTTCACCACTTTCACCAACATCCAAATTTGTGCATATGTTTGATTCTTAATTATTTAATTATTCTTAATTGCATCACTGATGATTTTTTGCTCAGTGGCCTACTACAGCATTTAGTGATAATGGCTACAAGTAGCAATAAAAGCCTGTTTTAGTGCTTTTAGTCTGAATTAATGCAGATATCTATTACTACCTTCCTAAGTATCTGTTAATATGAAATTGATCGCTGGCACAATTAACTGCAATTGTTTATGCTTGACTAAAACATCACCACTGATAATCTCCCTGTTTTGACCACTGAGTGTGTGTGTGTGTGTGTGTGTGTGTGTGTGTGTGTGTGTGTGTGTGTGTGTGTGTGTGTGTGTGTGTGTGTGTGTGTGTGTGTGTGTGTGTGTGTGTGTGGCATTCGGGTGTGTGTTTCAGTGTGTATTTTACATCTCAACAATACAGCTGGGAGTAGTTAATTGCAATTTAAAGTCCTGGCATTACCTCTTTATTTTTATTTTAAAATTAGATTTAAACACTGTATAAAGGAAATGCACATCACATGAATGTAGAGTACTTTGAAAACATTGTAATGGAGAGAGCAAAGAAAGTTTTAGAAATGTTTCCTACATTTTTAAATAATAATTAAGCAGAAAACCTAAAATGCCTGGAACAAAGAACTGATTGATTGCATGCTAATTATCTTTGTGAAATAAGTTAACATCTACTAAACAAGTATTCATTCTCATTTAATGATTATATGGAATATGAATGCATAGGGCTCCCGTGTTACACAAACTTTGTTCACAAAATGTTACTTCCTTTATGCTAAACAGCAGTGTGAGAAAAAGGTAAAAAGAAAAAATCAAGTAAATTAAATAACCTATTCAATTGCTAAAAGTGAAATGAAAGAAAATACTTTTTGACACAATTTACACAAGTAGGTATTAATTTCATTTACATGCAAAAAATATCTGAGCTGCTAAAAATTGAATAATATCACAACATAGTTCTGTTACAAATATTTCATACACAATTATTTTCATATTCAATTGAAGCAATGTTTCAACAGCAGATTGTTTAAAAAAGCACAGCCCTTCCCTTGTGCAGATCTTGTGTAGAACATCTGCAGATTGCTGCCCTGCCTCCTTACATAATCATGTGAAATTTAATCAAAACTGACCTTAATACAGATAGTCTTTGATAATGGCTGAATCCTAGGAGAGAAGAAAACTCTCCTAAGGAAACTTCTCTACGTGCTGGACTTAGTTATTGTTAACCTCTAGCTCCATCAGGCACTACTGCTCCTAGGCAAGTCTATGGGCATACAGATTTCTGATGTAATAAAATATGCAATCATCTGTTTTTGGCTAACCTAGGTTTTAAAAAGGAAAAAAAAAGA